CCTCAAACAATTCAATTAACTTATCGGCAGAGACTTTTACATCTCCTTCTTTAAGGAGAGTTTTTATAAAGTTTAAATAAGCTGAGTACTTAGTACTGGCCTGTCCCATGGTGGCCCGGGATACTCTGAGTGCCCAAGCTTACCACCAAGCTTGTTGACCGCAAGCCTCAGGAATCTGTCGTCGGTAGTCCTCCGCAGAGTTCCGCGCTCAAAGTGCACCTTCACACAGCGAGAGAGAAATCCTCGTTGGGTGCCAGATGTAGGGTCCAGCCCTACGGGGCCTGTGGGTTTTCTCTTCGTGTGCAGAGACGAGAGATTGTAGAAATAAAGACATAAGACAAAGAGACGGAAGAAAAAACAGCTGGGGCCGGGGGACCACTACTGCCAAGACGCTGAGACTGGTAGTGGCCCTGAATGCCTGGCCTCGCTGCTATTTATTGTATACAAGGCAAGGGGGCAGGGCAAGGAGTCTGAGTCATCTCCAATGATTGATAAGGTCACGCAAGTCATGTGTCCACCATACAGGGGGCCTTTCCCTTTATGGCAGCCGAGACGGGGAGAGAGAGGACAGCATACGTCACGCGTCATCATTTCTTCTAAGCACTTACCAGAAAGATCAAAGACTTTAATGCTTTCACTAATTCTGCTACTGCTAGCTAGAAGACGGAGCCAGGTGTACAGAACGGAACGTGAAAGTGGACCCGGAGTGTGAGTGCTGAAGCACAGCATCACTGGGATGATTCCCTTTCCCGCTCTGCTAAGTGACGGGTGCCTTCCCAGGCACTGGCATTACCACTAGACCAAGCAGCCCTCTAGTTGCCCTGATCCGGGTGTGACAGAGGGCTCACGCTCTTGCCTTCTGGTCACTTCTCATCGTGTCTCTTTAGCTCCTAACTCCATACGACCTGGTTTTTCCTAGGTTATAATTCTAGAATAGGGATTATTATAACAGCAGAACAAAGAGTAATTCTACAAACTAATGATTAATAATATTAATACATAATCATATCTATATTCTATTTCTAGTACAACTATTCTTATTATTTTCTTCATTATACTGGAACAGCTTGTGCCTTCAGTCTCTTGCCTCGGTACCTGGGTGACTTGCCGTCCACACCCTTCCATAGCAAAATGTTGTCATCATTTCTTCTTTGTCTTTAGAGGAAAGATTGATTCTATATGTCCCGGAGACAGAGAGAGAGAGAGAGAGAGAGAGAGAGAGTGTGTGTGTGTGTGTGTGTGTGTGTATCTGAGAGAGAGATAATGAAAGACTATATAATATCTAAAAGATAATTCAAAAACCAAAACTTCCCTTTTTCAAAGTGCTCCCTTCCTCCCCAAAATGAGAACATATTTATCGACCAGTTCTAAAGTCCCCTCCTCATCTCTGAAGGACAAGCCCGGGGGTCTTAAACCGCCTCTCTGCTGCAGCTCAGGCTAGTGGTAAAGCCATCTCACACTGCAGTGCAGTGATACATCATCACAAGCTTTCCCCACCCTGGGGTTGAAGCCAAAGGCCAGCGCTTATTTCCTGAGCCGTCCCAGAGCGCACGCTGTCTGCTGCACGCAGCATTCCTTCCAGCAGTTGGCATGATCAGCACAGACCACGGCATCTGCTGACATTTTTAGAATAAGGCCACTGTGCTGGCACTTGCATGTGTCAGCGCAGCCACCCTCAGCTGAAATTGTGGTGCTCGGGGGTTCAATTTATAGGACGTGCCCAAGGGCAGGGCTGGAGCCCAGTGGTCTGTTGTGTGCTGTGTTCTCTGACTTCAGGGTGCTTCACCATCCCACTGTATTTGGAGCAGCCCCCTGTAGGCCACTGGGTTATTGGGCAGTCTCTGTCCTTCCCATCTCCCAGCTGACCCAGGGAGCCTTGGCCCAGCCAAATTCATTGTTTACTCCAAACCTAACTTGGCTTGGCAAGAGCAGAGGGGATCCAGGGGAGGCTAGGATGGAAGAGTGTGAGGGAGAGACCCTTACTGCTTGACCCCAGAGAGGGTGGTGGCGATGATGGATATAGACACGAGGGTGCGTCCACTGCAGGACCACTGCCTCACATGGATTTTTAAGTGGTTATTTGGAGTAAGGTTCAGTATGTGCAGTGGTGTGTGCGTTTTGTGTGTGCTTGTGTGGTGTGTGTGTATGGCATAATGTGTGTATGTGCAGTGAAGGTGTATGTGGTATGTGTTTGCTATATGTCTATGGGTACTGTGTGGTGCATGCATGTTCTGTGTATTTGTGTGCATGTGCATGCATGTGTGCCTGTCTCTGCATATGTGTATGTTTATGTGTGCATGTGGGTACAGGTATGTGTACATGTATGTACATATGTGCACACGTGAATGTGTGTATGTGCACATTTGTGCATGTGCTTGTGTGTGGATGCATGTGTGCACATAAATGTGTGTGCCCATGCACATGTGTATGTATGTGTGTATATACATGTATGCATTAACATATATGCATGTGTGCACATGTACACGTGTGCATGCCTTTTGTGCATGCGTGCATGCGTGTGTGCAGGTATATGTATATGTGTGCATGTCTGTGCATGTGTGTAACCTCCTTAGAACAGGCAGAGATTGGGGCTTTCTTTGTCTACCCCAGTTTCCTTTAGGCTGTCTTCATAGAGAAAGGAATAGCTCAAAACCCACAACCTTGCCTCGCCCTGATGGGGGATTTCTGGGTCTCCTCAGTCTGTCTTTTATTAGGCAGGCCATGGGCTGTCAGGCCCTTGCTGGGTAGATGATCTGCTCATGAATAAGAGATAGAGGCAGGGCAGGACAGGGCCCCTCCCTGATGGGCCTCCCCCTTCTGTGTGGTGGAATCTCACAGACAACTTTGAGTGGCCTGTGCACATCCACTTTTTTTTTTCTTTTTTTCTTTCTTTTTTTTTTTTTTTTTTTTTTGAGATAGGATCTTGCTCTGTCACCCGGACTGGAGTGCAGTGGTGCCATCAGAGCTCATTTCAGCCTCGACCTCCCAGGCTCAAGCTATCCTCCTGCCCCAGCCTCCCAAGTAGCTGGGACTACAGGTGCATACCACCGCACCTGGCTAATGTTTTGATTTCTGCAGAGACAAAGTCTTACTATGTTGTCCAGGCTGGTCTCAAACTCCTGGGCTCAAGAGATCCTCCTGTTTGGGCCTCCCAAAGTGTTGGGATTATAGGCGTGAGCCACTGCACCTGACCCACACATTCACTTTTTTAGGACATGGCAGGGACTTAATGTTTTAGAAAACACTTAGCTACCCCTGTGACAATGCTGCTTGACACTATTGGACAGTGTGACTTACCGTATCCTAGTAACTTCCATGAAAATCATCACAAAGTTCAAGGTAAGTTTTTATTAAAAATCACAGTTTTTAAAAATGTCCAGTGACACAATGTAGCTCTTCTGAAATGAATGGAAAACATGACACACTGCTAACCAGTGGAGGGAGCTCTCTGCAGGGCTGGGAGGCCTGACAATGCAGCTGTTGCTTCTGCAAGTGGAAATCCAGGCCAACTTGCAGTCATTGGACTGATGTCCAAGGGCAATCACCATCCAGCAACTACAGGCAGGGCTGGGTGATAGGGAGTATGGGAGAAGGACATGCTCAGATGAAAACATGCATGCAACGATTTTCACCACTGAACGCACTGTTTTCTGTGACAGAAACACTCAGCCCTGCTGGGGGACAAGATATTCACGGCCCCAGGGGCCAATGTGATGCCTCTAGGGCAGTCTGTCCATGATGCTCCTTTGTTCCCTGCTAAACAAGGACCATAAGGTGAAAGGCACCTTACCTTATGGAGTGAGCCCAGACCCCAGGGAAAAGCTTGGGTAGAACAATCCAAGGGGCAGCCTGGGTATGAGAATCCAGCCCAAGCTAGCTGCTCTAGAAGCCCTAGAAGCCCGGAGGCCTTTCCCAGCTTCCCAAATGTAGCCCTTTTCACATGACCAATCCTTCAATTCAGTTGCCTTTCTCTATTTGCCCTTCTTAGTGGCTGCAGGGGGAAGGATAATGATTCCTGACCGCAGGACACATTTTCACTAGAAAAGACTTCCTCGTGCTGGCCACAGTGGGAATTCTGCACACAGGTGCCTGCTTCACCAAGCGGACAGGCTCAGGAGATTGTCCAGGGACAAGGAGACCCGGCTGGACCTCTGCAGGGAGGTGAGGCCCCTGCCCCCCTCTTGCCCCATCACATTCTGGACGTTTGGCATCCCGAGGCTCCTGGGAGGGGAGAAGTGCTGAGAAAGAGGCCAAAAATCACACAGAAAGAAGACAGAAAACTGCATGCACTTCCTACATAGGTGCTACCATATTCCTACGAGCACGGGGCCTGTGTTAAAGGCTTCCTGTGGAAGTGACGGAAGGAAGCCACCCGGAGTTCAGCCTCACAGCCTCTTTCTCAGATGCGGTCACCACTTTACCAAACCTGGCACATCCAACCACTCCTTTCATAAGTCAAGGATTAGTTAAGACCAGAAAATAATTCTCCGGTCTTGTATCTTCAACTCAAACTCACACTCCAAAAGGCCTATTTGTGGTGAGGCTCAGGGTCTTTGGCTTGTTATGAATTAACACTTCCTTTGGAAACTCTTTAGATGGCTTTAATCCCTGTACTGTCCCCCATTACAGACACAGAAAGCAACAGGGGATTCTGGCAGCACCCTCTCTGTGGAGGAGAGGAAGGTGTGGACCACGTTCAGGGGAAGGCAGCCCGAAGCTGTCCTCAGTGAGACGCCGGGGGCTAGGCCTCTTGCCCCTGCTCTGCAGCCTCCATGCAGGGCTTTATTTACCAGTCACCAGGTCGTCAAGACAGTCTGCAGGAGAGAGGATTTCGGGGGGGAAGTAAGCCAAGCCAATTCATTCAAACGGTCCCCTTTTATCACAAACATGTAAGTCTTCCATCTCATAACAGAGACAGTAAAAGCAGGATCCAGGCCTTTTTTTTTTTTTTCCTTTCCTTAACTGGTTACATGCTTAGAAACTGCACTGGTCAAACTTGATTTTCTTTTTAAAGCCTCAAAACATTTTTATTGTCATGAAAGCTTTTCAGTGACCAGGGATCAGTCTCATTGGCTGTCACAGCCATGCCGTAGAAGCAGCCAAATTCCTCTGCCTTTGCCCTCCCTTCAGGAGTCACATGCTAAGGCATCCTTGGGCATTCAGAAAAGGCCGCTTGGGGTGTGAGTGCTCTAGGCCACTCTGCAATGCCCCTGGGTGCAATCGGTAACAAATGCACTCCAGGACCCAGAGAAGGGGAAAGACACGAAAGGGATTTGGAAACAGATTGTAAAAATAACCTGTTTGAAAATCACACAGACAAGAAAACAAACAAATCCATCTAGCCCCTGGGATCCTGCCATTCATCTTCTCCCCCAGCATTGCCTTTGCTTTGTGGAGGGTGAGTCCCGGGACAGGCTTTGGGTGACGCGTCACGGGCGTGTTCCATCCAAGGCTGGCTCTCCCAACTGGCAGAGGGAGGTGGCTGACAATCAGTTCCTCTGGATACATTTTCCTGTGACTGTTTCTGTGATCAAAGACAGCCACCGACAGGTACAGGAGCGGTTAGTTCACCACGTCATAGTAGTAGTTGCGCAGCCGCAGTTCCACTGCTGCGAATCCGGGCCTGTTCTCCACACTGGAACGGGAAGAGATGCATTCTTGTTTGTCAATGTGCTTGTGAAAAAATGCTGATCACAAGCGGGGCCTCTGCAGGCTGCGTACCAGTGGTGCTGCTCCCTGGTGGCTGACTCTAGGGCCTGCAGCTCACAGTGTGGTCCCTGTGCTCCCCGCCCCAGGGTGACCAGAAGGCTGTCGGAAAGTGTATGCCTACTGTAGACCTAAATAATCCATATCTGTATTTTAACAAGACCTCCAGGTGATTCACGTTCACCTTAAAGCAGGAGACTTTTTGCATTAGAACTGGGAGTGGTTTAGCCCCAGGTTCAGATATGCGGCACACAATATGCTTCTGTGCCACAGGCAACAAAAAGAGGCTGTCTCGTTGTGATTTTAGCAAAACAGGTGTCTGAAAATACTCGGCACATGTACTGAGGATATAGTCAACATCTGACTCGTAATCTTGTTAAGAGAAGAAATACGAACATAGCTTTAATTCTTCCTTTCCACGCTCTAATCCATGGCTCTGGATTTTCTGAAAATGGGCTGTTGATACGGGTTCTTATGAAAACTCAAAACATGTCATGGCAGAAGCAAAGACCTGGGGCTTGTCTATGATCCACCTTAATACAGCCAGTCCTTACTGCCACTGCTGGCCAGGGAGGCACTGATGTCAGTGAACCACGGGCAAAAGCGTTAACAATTCGCAGTCTCTAAACAAACATTTACAGACACTTCTGTTTACTCTCACACAGATATCCTTTACAGATCAGTTGGAAGCAAGTACTAAAACCCCGATAATCAATCCTCACTTAGAAGTTATTTTTCTTATTTTGCAAGATTTCTGGATATATTACAAGTGGGTGAAGTTGAAATATAATAAGTGAAAAAGTGAAATAGAATGTGAGGTTAAATTGTATGAAACCATCCACGTTCAGTCATTTTGACCTATGGCAATGGCAATTTCATATGGTTCAATGTCGACACAAGAGAACGGCCATAGAACGTGCACCAGGACCAAGACTCACTCATCATTTTAAGAGCAGAGTGGCTTCTACAAATCAAAATGGGTAGCTTTGTCAAACGGCATCAAAATACATGGTTTCACTTATAGCTTTCAATAGCGAGCAGAATGATAAAACTGCTGGAATTGATCAGTGTGGTCAGCCATCTGTGGTCATGTCTGGGGACACGGGCCTCCCACGGTGTCACTGAGAGGGGCCTTGTCTCTGGCCACCAAGTGTGTTCCAAGAGGGGATATGGTGGCCAAGCCTCTGGTACAGGAGCATGCATCCACCCAGAGGGACAGCCTCTATCTTGCTCCTAAACTTCTACAGTCAAAGAGAACATACTTTAGCATCTTTGCAAAACAGGGGGCTCTGCTCCAACTGTGGGGATCCAAATGGTACAAAGAGCACCTTTGGATCTTGCTCTGGGGGTTCATCTGCCCAGCAGCCAAGCACCAAACAAATAAAGGGAAACAGGAATACAGACTCGTCCTCAGGAAAAACACCTGCTCAGGTCTCCTAGGAAATCTCTCCTGTACATCCATGGGAGATGCTGCCTCCGGGAAGCCGGGACACAGCTGTGCTTCAGCAGCAGGAGGGTGATGCAGTGCCCTTGTGTGCCCAGCTTCCTGCCCTGCCCTGGCCTGCCACTCTGCTTTCAGGCCAGAGTGCAGTTTCTGCTCTGCCCCTCATGCCCAGTGACCCTTCTCCTCTCCCCTCATCCCTATACCCAACCTTGCTTCTTAGCCTGCACGTGTCAGCTGCAATCCCTAAAGGTGGCCTATTTGGAGCCCCTGTTGGATGTGTGACCCTTCCCTCCCCATAATTTTCTGTTCTCTTTTAAAGTTTCCAGTGTGTGATTTTATATAAAGAGATATTCGGTCTTCATCCTGGGTTCCTGGCACAGAGCTCCTAAAACCCGTGGAATTTCCTGATTGTTGGGCTGAAAGCAGCATCTTTTGTTACTCATAATAAACCCCCTTTAACCATACCCGGGTTTGTGCTAATGAGACTGCTTCTCTCCCTCCCTCCCTCTTTCTCTCCCTTCATCTACCTCCCTCCCGCTCTCTCTGTCTGTCTCTATATATCACCTTGGAGAGGGTGGCTGTTTACAACTGAGGAAAAAATGAAAAAACAAAGCAAAACAAAGCAAAACTAAACAAAACAGAGAATACACTAGGACCACCTGTAGTCCCTTCATTGAATCCACCACATTCTAGAAGCTCCAATATGCTTCTGTGCTACAGGCAACTCTGAGAAACTACTTCGACACGAGAGGGCTTAAAAAACCCCATACACACACGTGATGTCCTCCAGGCCCCTGGGCCCTCCTTGCTTTGATTTCTCACTGGAGTCATCTCTTTCCTAAGACACACCATAGGACACACTTATTTTTAGCTTATTATTTATTGCCTGTCTGCTCCAGTCCCAACTATAAGGTCTGATAAGGACAGGGTCTGAGGCTTCTGTGAGGCTTGCATCTGGGGCGGCAGCCTGCACAGCATGAGCTCCGGCAGTGGCCACCGACCCTGTGAATGACCCCGGGCTCTCAGAGGATGTGCCGCTCAGAGGAAAGCTGGCTGAGGCTGTGCAGGGAGCCAGGGCAGATCTCACCAAAGTCCTGGGAATTCATGCTGTATCTTGGGCTTACTGATCTTTAAACAGGAATTGGAGCCGCATCTCGAGCCTCCCTGACTCTCAGAGAAACTGGACAGCCCAGGAATTTTCTCCATTCAGCAGAGGCCCCCACCGGAGGGCTGGGACTATTAGGAGACTGTTTTTCAGGATCAAGAGCACCAGCTTCTCTCCATTTGCAAGGGCTTGCCCCACGGGTGTCTTCAATCACCCGAAGCACGACTTGGCTCTGGAGAACACTGCAGTGGAAGGCTTCCTGACTGAGTCCTGCTTTCTAAGGGCCAGTGTTTCCTTCTTGGTTTTCACGCTGCCTTCCTGAGTGACCTGCATGGGGCGGACTCTAATGTGTTTCCTCTTTGGAAAGCTGGAGGGGGAAAGAGTGAAGCACGGGCCATCCCAGAATATGCCAGATTGGGGTATTGATTATTTTGAGTTGAAAATATTGGATAAATTGTAGTTTTGGAAAGGACGAGCTGACCCGTCTCTTTGTGTCTGCAGCAAGCCATAAAGATTCCTCTGGGAAGGAGACCCTCCCTGTAGCAGGATGAGAAAGTGGCCCTTATCATCAGAGACTGGGCACTGGAGCTGCAACGGGCCTGAGTCAACATGTTTAACAAAGTATCCCTTGTCTTCCACTGGTTTTACACCATCCTCATATCTCTGAGTGCCTTCTCTAGAAAAATTACTCCTAGCCAGATTCGTCCTGTCATTTCTTCTTAAATGTATGGCTCTTTGTCTAAAAAGTATAAAAGCATCTTGCTTTGGCCACTTCTTTAGACTTCACTCTCTTGCGAGTCTCCCCATAAACATGTAAAACTAATAAAATTGGTATGCTTTTCTTTTATTAATCTGCCTGGTATCAATTTCTAGGTCCAGCTGAAGAGCCCGCTAAGACCAAAAAGGGGTTGGAGGTAATCTCTGGCTCTCTTACAATGGTGAGTGAGGGATGCTGTCTGCCTTCTCAGGGCTCTGTCACTGAGGCTGGGAAGTCCCTTTGAAATCCCTCCAGGACCACACCCTGGAACTGATGACAAGGCCTGCGGTGAGGGACCCCTGCACCTTCTGGAGGGCCTCGAGCAATAGCCCGGGTTACCAGGACCAGCCCTTGGCACTTCTGAGTTCTCCTTGTGGCCCTGCTCCAAGGAATGTTTTTCTTTTTTTTTTCATTCAACTGCACCTCATTGAATTTCTTACGTTCAGACAAAGTGATACGGAGCTAGAAAGAAATTATGTAGGCATATAGAGTGGGTGACAGAGTCCTCTGTAAGGTTTCCTTGCAATAAAAAGCAGCCCCTAAATCATGTCTTTTTCTAACAAAAAGCAGCCTGAAAAATCAAGCTGCAAGCATAGATAAGCAAGCTAAAAGTTCGCATAGGTAAATGCTGGAAGCTGTGTCGATAGAAAAGGGACACCTGGAGGCCAGGGATATTCAACATGGAGGTTCCCTCTTCCACTTTCCTTGTTGCCAAGTGTGCAGTAAAAAAGCAGGCAAAGGCCGGGCGCAGTGGCTCACACCTGTAATCCCAGCACTTTGGGAGGCCGAGGTGGGCGCATCACGAGGTCAGGAGATCCAGACCATCCTGGAGCCGAGATTGTGCCACTGCACTCCAGCCTGGGCGACACAGCGAGACTCCGTCTCAAAAAAAAAAAAAAAAAAAAAAAAAAAGCAGGCAACATGGCACTGGCCAAGTAGAGACCTCATCTGCATAATAAAAGATTAGGGTGGGGCGACCAGTTTTTTTCCGTGTTATGTAAATGACCCACCTGGTCCAACCAATCTTTGGGCCCTATGTAAATCAGACTCAAGCTCATCTATAAAACCCTGTGTATTTCCACAGGAACCTGAAGAACCACTTGGCAGCCCTTATCTGTCTGCAGGAGAGAGAGCTTTTCTCTTTTCTCTTGCCTATTAAACCTCTGCTCTTAAACTCACTTCTTGAGTGTCTGCATCTTCGATTTGCTTGGCGTGAGGCAACGAACTCAGGTATTACCGCAGACAAATACAGCTGCTTCAAAAGTTTCTGAACATTTCCCCACCTCCCCCAACCCTGTTTGAGGTCACTACTAGGAACATTGTAACCTTCAGAAATATCGCTTTGCTGGGAAATAAATCAAAGTCTGATAAAGAGCTGCGATTTCTAATCTGGGGCATGGGGCATCGTCATGATTTCCCTTTGACTGGGGCTTGTGCCCGGGAGCTGACTCCTCCAAGCCTGCAGAACTCGCAGAAATGCACCACTGCAGAGCGGACTGGGGTGGGAACCAAAACGGGAAAGACACCGCCTGCCTGGGAACCTCACTCAGGTTCCATCTTAAATCTCCAGGCGGGAAAACACGTTTAGAAAGAATGCTCTCTTAAGGAGACTGTTTACTGCTCTACTTCGCTGTAATTCTGGTGAATATCCAGTGAGTATCACGTAGACTGCTTTTCCTCCCCGGCCTCCCCCTGGTGGACCATTCTGGAAATAACAGTGCCCACTGTTAGTGTGTCCATGGAGGACAGAGGTGGGCCCAGCAGCCCCCATCCTGATTCCTTGAGTCACAAGAATGCACCACGACCCAAAGCGTATTCAGCAGCCTCACCGCAGCCACCTGGGAGCCAAGTGGGAGGTGGTGCCCCTGGCTGCAGCACCTAGCCCTCTCCCCACCCACCTTTCACTCCTCACTGTAAAACACATACCACAAAGAAGAATCGACAGAAATAAATAGATCAGCATCAACGTTAAATGCAAAAACTCCCCACTGCGAGTTCATTTTTAATTCCAAGTTTTTGCATTTGTATCACAATGATTTAAACTCTACCCTCTTCACCCTCCTACAGGAAGGGAAGCCTTGCAGGCAGGACCAAAGAACACTACCAGCAAAGGGTCACAGGCTGCCACGTGCCCAAGGGCTGCCCTCCCCAGGGTCCAGTGCTGCCAGTGCCTACCTGCCAATGGTTCTGACAATTCTGGTTTGGGCACTGGGAGAATTAAGCCAAGACTTAGGAATAAACATCCTCCTAAATCCATGAATAACACTTCCCTCTTGCTGACACTTAGCTCTCCCTGTAGCACTAACACTTGGGGTTGGAGAAGATGCCCCAGGGTCCAGGCCAGGCCCCTCTCCTGAGCCATGGCAGCAGCAGGGGCAGGGTAGCAACTACCCACAGTTTGCCTGCTGCCTTTGTGGCTGTGCCCTGGGTGGTTTCTAGATGGAGAATGAGATTATTTCCCCATCACTCACAATTGTGGTAGAGTGATACTCCCAGGGTGGGGAGGGGAGGTCTCGGAACCCCAGGTGGCATCTGCAGCATTTGAAATAGCCCTCATCTTTCAGAGGCTCTGGCAATGTCAGCTGTATCTGAGGGCAAACCTGATTCCACAAAGCATCAAATCAATGGCCAGGATTTGTGATGTCCTCCTGATCACAAACCACGTCGATTCTAAGCTGCATGGGCTCTGTGTGTTCAGTTCAGTACCAGGGAGCTGGAGACGGCAGCTTGGGTCACCGTGCTACGCACGCACAAGCAGGCTGCTGAGCCTGGCAAAGCTGTACTCCTAATTTTCAGTGACAATGCATTTTCCTTCCCTGTTCAGCTGCTCTGAGCATCACCTGAGAATAATGCCAGATGTACTTTACAAGCATAACAGCACCTGGATCCACTAAGCGAGACATATGATGGCAGTCAGGGTGGACTGAGGCCACCACTTCAAGGACGAGGTAGATTCTAGGGAAGTGCAACCTTAGCCAATCCATTTGTGACCTGGCCAGAGTCCGAGGTCACCGCTCACTGCTCATGGTCATCAGGGAGTCAGGAAAGTATAACATCCCCTACTGAGTACTGCTACCAGAAACGGCATCCAGCCCCAAACTCTTACAAACACCTTTTTAGTTTGACTGCCCTTGCCCCATATCTCCACCATTATCGACGTTTAAATTTGGACACTTGGGTTAGAGTCCCTGTCTAAACTTAAAGCAGGACCAGCCCCCACCATTGCTTGTTTAGAAAGGGGGCACATTCCTGATTCATGAAAAGGTGAACTTTATGCTTGTTTCAGACGCCCAGCCATTTCACCTGTCTCCAGAGTATTTAAATACGTCGCAGGCAGTGTTAGGTACTCACTCGTACGTCCAGCACAGGTTCATGAGATCGTACATCTCTCTTGGACATCCTGCAGGGCACCCCATCCGCTCTCCTTTCTCTAACATAGCGGTGACTTCACTTCCTTTCATCCCCTACAACATGCAAGATATGCATAAGCTTTTTTTTTTTTTTTTTTTTAAAGTGTTAGCCAAACAAAACAAAACAGCCACTCCAAGACATGGAGGAGTACACACTGTATGATTTCAATTATATGAAGTATAAAAACAGGAGCACTTAATCTGTGATGCTGGAGTCAGATGGGTCAGCCGCGGGGAAGGCTGTGTGTGCAGAGGAAACGGCCTCTGGGGTTCTGTTCGTCATCTGGGGGCTGATTTCACGGGTATGTTTCATTTGTGGAAAAACCACTGTGCTGCATGCTAAGAGTTGTGCCCTTTT